CAATTTCTATCATATATGAATTTCAAAAATAAAATTTAAAGCAATTTTTGAGTGAAAACCAATTAAAAACAAAATATTGAACTTTTGGAATGATGTTTCATTATTTTTTTTTTGAATATCCAATTGTTTTAATAAATTCATAATGGATGAAAATACATTGCAAAAGCTGTGTTTTAAGCAATACTTCAAAACCTGATAACCTTTATAACCGAAACTAAAATTTTGTACATAGTTTCCTAAGCATATTTTATCCTGCTTGACCGTGGGAATTTTTGTTATTCAAATTATTTCAAAAAATATTGCATTTTTAACAAAACCACTTTATATTTATATAAAATATCAATAATTTTAACACTTTAAACTACAATATTTCATCTTTTATAGCTTTGCGTTAAAAATGTGAGGGTCAAAATAAATATTAAATTGTTATAAACAAGTTACAAACCTGAAAGTTTTATAATTAGGCAGAGTTCGGTTATTGAGAAAAAGTGTTTCAAAGTTTCAAAAAAGACATGTTGTTAAAAAAGCATAAATAAGAAAAAATAAATAAAAAAAGAATGTAAAAATTATCAAAATCCACCAGGAATGTAGCTATTAATTGTGTCTTTTACTTGTGGATTATCCATGAAACCTATTTTAGCTGCACTAAGTTTTTTTTCTTTGCATTTTGCATTTAACCGTTGACTTTGACTTCATATGTCAAATTCCGGTTTTTTCAATTTTAGATAATGAAGCTAAAGTGAAGATTCCATTTAGTCCAAAGTACTTTAAAACTTGTACACCATTAGCACCATCATTATAATGTAGCACTGCTGAGTATGTTCCCATTTCGATTGTCTTACTAACAATTGTGTGCTTTGGTATGCGAGACTATATAATTGAATTTAAAGCTTTATTGGCATTTTGTGTTGTACCGTGCAAACATTTAATTAGAAGATCATCAGCTTAAAGATCTTTGATGATTGGTAAAAGAAGATTCTTAATCCAGATAGGTATACACGATTTTGGTTTTTAATTTTTATGATTGAGAGCCCAATATTTGCACCAACTTTTCAATTCTCTTGGGCAAAACTGATGCTGCATTTGCAGATTTTCAAAATCGGTGAAATGAAATAAAAGAGCATAAACTGCTTTTTTCATAGCATACATTGATGTTGACATTTTGATGAATTGTCATACCATAATAGTTGCATATAATTTATACATTTTTCTATTAGGTTTTAGTGTTCACATTTTAACTGCAACAAATGTGCAAATCTTTTTCTACTGGAAACAACATCTGATATGTTAATGACTAAAAGCAGTAATTGTATGCAGTTTTAGCTATCAGTTCTTTGAGAATTGAAAAGTTAATAAAAACAAACTAATTATCTTTTTCAGAGTCAAATATTTTCGAACAGTTTAATTTGATTTTTCTTTTACTAGAACTGGTACTAGCTGTTTTATTTGTGCTAGATTTTTATTTGCAACAACACCATTCCATTTTTGTTTTATTCTTCTTGATAATTTTCTTTTGTATTTTCTAGTTTATTCATTTAAAAAAAAAAATTATTTCAACTGAGTTAAAATCATTTTTAATATAACTTTATACAAAATGAGGATAAAGTTTCAACATAAGAGACTAACACTACCAGTCAAAAATCACTCCTGTCCTTAAATTAAGTTTTGAAGTATAACTTTTTAAACGGAAAACTAACAAGAGTCTGGATATAACACATTAAAATCAAGTTTGTGATGGTACTTTCCTGTTTTGAATTCATAAAAACTCAAATGTTTGGTGGTTGCTAAGACGTTGTTAGGGAGATTTTTTTAAACTATTATCTACTAAAATGTTGTTAGATCATTTTTTATATTATTTTTGAAACTAATTTTATAATTATATGTTGGAGGAATGATTATAGAATCAAAATACCAAAAAATCCTATGATTGATTTTTTTCAAAAAATTTTAACGCTAGGCTCAATATTGCGGAACTTAGAACGCGCGCGCGTATATATGATAATTAAAACTTTATGAAAAAAAATTATTTTTACACACACGTGTGTGTACAAATAATTTTTTTTCATAAAGTTTTAATTATCATATATACGTATATATATATATATATATATATATATATATATATATATATATATATATATATATATATATATATATATATATATATATATATATATATATATATATATATATATGTATATGTATATGTGTGTATATATATAGACGGGTGGACGGAAAAGATTCCCGTGGTCCCGTGTGTGTACAAATAATTTTTTTTCACAAAGTTTTATTTATTCATCACTTATTAATCTTGTTTATCGCTTCCAAAACATCTTAAAGATAAAAAATATATGAGTTTTTAACATAATCTGCTTTTTTTTATTCTATCTAGCTTTCTTTTGTAAAATTAAATTTCGAATTTTTTAAATCACGGTTACCGTTCTTTTGTTAATTTTTTTTTGTGAAACGTTGTAAACATTGCCTGACTTTTAAAGATTTTAAAGACTTGTAAAGATTGCATGACAACCATTTCTCATTAATAAACTTTTGTTTTAGACACATACTGCTGTTGTATTTTGAAAGCGTAAGTTTTTAACTTAAAATTTTCTTTTACACTTTGTAAATTACAAATCCGTGTTAAATTAAATCTAATAAATATACAATTACGCTAAATACAAAATATTACTATTCAAATATTATTATTTAAAAAAAATATATTTTTATTTGTAAACATTAATTTGTATTATTTATTTATAAATTCTGTATAAATAAATAATAAAAGAGCTACGTTTTAATTTTTGTAATGCAGATTATGAGTTCTTGCCATAAATCTGGTTACTATAAACGAAGAGCGACAAAAAAGAGATGAAGAAAATTCTAGAGGTAAGAAAACACTGAACAAGAGCGACAAATGACAAAACACAATGACAATAACGACAATGGAGACATTGACTCTTTTAAGTGCAAGAAATGAAATGGAAGTTGTTGGAATTGCTGCGTTCGAACTGCAATTTCTATACCGACTGAGCTAACATCGGTATTATAGTGTTAAAATTAAATGTAACACTAAAAGAAGAAGATGCCAATAAGGTAAATCTAAAAATGTTGCTTTCGCTAAAAAAATAAAGAAATAGTTTCTATTAATTGGTTAGTTATTATAACGAAACATTTTTAGATTTACCTTTTGGTAAATTGGCAAATCTAAAAATGTTTCGTTTACCTTGTTTATTTTATAAATTTATGAACAAAAATCAGTTTTTGCTACAAAATATCGTTGGCAGACTAATGGAGTGTACAAAAAATTGAAAGATAGAATACCTGACCATGAAAAATCCAGCAATCATAAATCGTGTTAAATCCGGTGACGAAATTTAGAAACAAATATTAATAAACATAATACAATTGATTGCCTTATAGTAAAATAAATACAAAATGAGACACAGAAATGGAAAGATTTATTAAAACAAAGATTTATTAAAACAGTTATATAATTTTGTTTCTTGCTGAGTGTGAATTGACCTTTAAGGGTGTTTATTCATTTAACTGGAGGTTCGAACATTGGAAATTTTCTAGGTTTATAAGAATTTTTAAGTCATTACGCTTTTAGAAGAACATTTAAAAAACGTTAAGCAGGCACTAAACGAACACGTGTTAAAATGGACAGATTTTAGAAATAATACTTTCAATATATTCATGAATAGCATCATTGGCAATATGACAAGAACATTTAATGCAGCAAAAGTAATAGGTTCTTTATTCAAAGTATTATGGTTGTTCCTTGACTTAAATGATCAAGAAATACTAAATTGCAAAAAATATATGAAAATGATATTGACGATATCAAAGGATAGCATCGATATCATCGATATCATTTTACAGATATAATACTAACTTACATAAATACATTTAAATACATTTAAAAATAAAAATTTATTTAAAATCAATTGTCAATATAAAAAATATTTATCTTTAGCCCGTTGAATTATTAAAAAAAATTAAAGAAAAAACTGTGCTGTTTTTAAATATTAAACTGCTGTTTCCAAATATTATAATTGCGATAAAAGCTACTCCAGCGACAGTTGCCCAAGCATAAAAATTTGTTCAGAGTGTTAAAAGAAATAAACTTAAATGAAGTACGACTTTTATTTACTGAAGCCGTATAAAGAAACTATTAATTTTTTGGTTAAAGCAAGGCTTACAAAACTCTATTATGAAGTGTTTAACATTTTTCGTACAGTTTTTCTAACTTTGACTTTTAAAAGATTCAATTACTTTTCATTTCTAATTTTTAGAGGCCAGAGCTAGTGATGGATCCAGGAATTTTTGGTAGGAGGATGTTGAAATTTTTTCGTATTTTATATCACATTTGCGTCTCCTAAAATAAAAATAAAAAAAAGGTCCTCATTTTTTAGGATTTTATAAAACTTTCAGATTCTGGTGGTGGTAATGGTGGTGGTGGGGATGCATACCCCATACCTCCCCCTCCCCCCGATCTGTCACAGGCCAGAGCACGCATTTATTATATATATATATATATATATATATATATATATATATATATATATATATATATATATATATATATATATATATATATATATATATATATATATATATATATATATATATATATATATATATATATATATAACAAAAAGTGAATTTCCATATCATTAATTATGATGTTTTTTCCTAAATTTTGTAGAGTAACACACACATCTTATCTTATAACAATTTGCCAAAATAAGCATGTATATTTTAATTTAGAAATTTTATAAATTGCTAAAGATCAGTATTTATAAACCGATTTTCAAAAAAATACAAAAATACAAAAATCAACTTCTGCTTTTCAAGGTTGCACCTAGCGTGTAAATTGTTTAGCGTGTATATATTGCGGTTATATTTGCTATCATTTTCTACAAAGCAAATAAAAACAGTCTTCAAAAATAAACATTAAAATAGCTGTGATGGTGACGTTTTTATAATTTTTTTTTATTTCTTAAAAGGTCACACTCCAATTTAAGAATGAATAACAATGTTGCTATTTTTAAACTTTAATAAACGTCTTTAACATTACATGAAATGACTGAGGTGAGTTTGTTTTCAAATTTAAAATAATTTGTTACTTTGGGAAAAAAATCTACTTAATAGTGTTTTTTTTTTTTTAGAATTCTCTACATACTTTTGAGTTGGATAGTTTGAGTCCTAAATCAAGCCACGAGAGTAAGTCCCAAGATAAAATTAAAAGTTTGACTATAAAAACTTTAAGAGGACCTCTTGCACCCGTAAACAACTTTTGTAATGCGGTTGAAAACAAAATTAAAAACTTTTGTAAAAAGCATGCAATCTTAATCAAACAAATACTGCTTGTTCTGTCATTAACAGCCTACATTGTCTATTTTATTGTAGCGTTAATAAAAAATCCAAATAAAGTTACAGACCTAATTTATGTTAGTGCTTTTTTTTTTGTATGCCTAATTTACTGGGTTTTTAAAAAACTTTTTGGTAGAAAAATCTCTTCCAGTATTTTGAAACCCATGCACAATGCAATTGTTCCTCAATGGAAATACATTAAATGGTAAGAACTTTTTTTTATTATAGTTTGTTAATTATTTAAAAAAATTTTTTAGTATATTTAAGGATAAAAAGGTTTTTATAAATTGCATATAAAAGCACCAAAAGCGCAACAATTATTAAAAGGACTATCTTAAAATAAAGTCTTATTAAAACCTCTTTTTTAATAGTGTATACATATATATATATATATATATATATATATATATATATATATATATATATATATATATATATATATATATATATATATATATATATATATATATAAATATATATATATATATATATATATATATATATATATATATATATATATATATATATATATATATATATATGTATATATATATATATGAATATATATATATGTATATATATATATATATATATATATATATATATATATATATATGTATATATATATATATATATGTATATATATATATATATATATACATATATATATATATATATATATATATATATATATATATATATATATATATATATATATTTATATATATATATATATATATATATATATATAAATATATATATATATATATATATATATATATATATATATATATATATATATATATATATATATATATATATATATATATATATATATATATATATATATATATAGCCCTGCTAGCGAGCACAATATTATTTTGAACTTAACAAGTTTATTATTGAAAATAATGTTTGAAAATGGTAACAAAAAAAACTGGAATTGTTAATAAAATTCCGGCCGAAACAAGAATTAAATTTATGTAATTTTTTATCTTCGAGATGAAAGTGAAAGCCTGTACCTCAGCATCGTGGCTATATATTATATTTTTTTATATATTTTATAACTGTGTATAATTATAAGCATATGACTATATATATTATTAATGTATTTGAGCTAGTAATTGACCAAAACAGGAAATATGCCGAAACCGAAATAAACCGAAATTTCGGGTACACTTGTTCAATACCGAAGCCAAAACCGACATTTCGGCCAATATTTTACCGAATCTAAAACCGAAATTTCGGCTAAATAAAACTAATTTTATTTAAACAATAAAACACTACAATAATAATAACTCATTGGTAAATATCTGTAGTTTAGATGCAAATAAGGCCATCGATAGCTGTAACTGGGACTAGTTGTTTGAAAAAATTACAACAAAATGTAGCGCCATATGCAGTTGGCGCACCACAATTATTACTATTTGTGTATCATACCATGGGTCCATTTTATCGCCATATTTGTAAAATATCTATACTAAAAGTATATCAAGTCAAATTGTTTCAGATTGCAAAGTTGGAACAGTAGTAAATGGCATATAGGCATTATTGCTTATGCAGACAATATAACCCTACAAAGTTCTACTGTTTCTGGGTTACAAGAATTAGTTAACAAACTTTAAACCCTATGCAAAAACCTTTATATCAAACTAAACACTAAGAAAACCGAGTTTATTATCTCATGTAAAAGTTCAATTACAAAAAACACAATTCAAGTTAATGGTTCTTCCCTACATCTCAAAAATAAACTAAAACATCTTGGATCCTTACGGGATAATAAAGACCATATACAAAATATAGCTACTCTCCAAACAGAAAATATAAAGAAACGCATTATTCAATTTCAATAAGTCTTCAGAGCTCTCGAATTCGTCAGCCACAAACTATAGTGCATCTCGGGCTGTACTGAATCTATTATACGGTTTTGTAATTTACAAATTTACTTTGTAATTTAAATTTATAATTACAGCAATACATTGTTAATAAATCAGCATTAAAACTTCTCTTCAGCATATCGAAGTATAGCAAAAATTATCTATATTCCTTCTATAAAATTGGTGACATGTCTACCATTCTTATTCGAAACAAATTAAATCTATTTATCAAGCTACTGAGCAATCCAACATGTTTCTCCCTAATTTTGACACAAAATCAAAGATTAATAAGGATAAGTAGTTTATCAACAAAGTAATGCAAATTCGCAACTGATTGAAGCTAAACTTTGCTCAGAGGGTAAAAAATCATTGTCAAACGTCCGAATGCTGACATAGAAGTTAAAGTAGCGGCAACTCTAAATAAGTCCTTTGAATTCTGGAATATCAAAGGAAAAAAAAAACATATTTAAAAATTTGATGGAAGAAGATATTCCAAAAAAAAAAATCTAATCTAAATTAAACTTCTGACAAATTGTAGAAAGTTTTATACTTTCTTTTTTAATTTGGGTGATGAAAAGAACAAATAAATAAATAAATTAGAAAATATTGTCTAAAAATGCAATTTTACATTTGTTGTTTATTTAGATTAATTTTTTTTATTTTTTTTTTACATGTTGTTTATTTTCTTGACGACATTTTTCCATCACATATAATATTAACAAAGTAATAGTCATAGATAAATAATAAAAAAATCAAAAATCAAAAATCGATAAAAATAACTAAAAGTTTACATCCACAAATATTATCCTAGATCACTTTCTATTTGAACTATTTATTCAAATTTGTTTTTTTTATAAAAAACGTCATCTGGGCAAAATTAAAGATATTATGCGCGTTGCAATCTCTTCAGCATCTGAGAAGGTGGTATTGATAATACTGGGCAACAAAAAAATATTTTTTGTTGTATCTTTAGCAATTTTATTCAAATTATACTAATTTTGGGCTGAGAAAAAAGAAAATGACAACAAAAATAATTTATTAGCTCTAGTTTCTGAGATATACAACAGCAATAAACTTTTATATCAGTTAATTTCCAACAGAGCATTATGACTTTTTTTATTATTAGATTATGAAAATTTACATAATCTAATAATATTTAAATTACGTTTGGTTTTTTTTATTGCAGATATATTCTAACAGTTTTAATCAAACAAATCATGATCATCAAGCTAATAAGTATAAAGATGATTATGGGGTATTATCACGAGATCTAATCTTTTTGCTTTTCTTTTGTGAAATAGTTCTGGAGCATCCCTACACTCAAACCAGCAGTAATCTGCAAGCTATAACTCATTCCAACAACTCTAATATCTTTGTTCCATTACAAAATTAACTTGGCGAAACCTTTTCCCATGTTCATTATTAACAGCTCTACAAATAGGGGGGGGGGGGGAAGTCTAGGTGTGAGTTGAGAAAATGAATCTTGAGGGACTTGTTACATCCAAGTTGATGGTATTTTTAAGAAATACTTTTACCAATTAAATGTAGTTATCATCTCTTTTGTTGCCTAAAAATCCACAAATCATTCCCTTAAGGGCTTCTCAGGTTTTCTTTTCTTTCCCAAAATTTCGTCAAATGCAAGCTTGTGACGTATTTTTGGCCCAACAAAAATATCCTCTTTAACTTTTGCATCACTTATTTTTGAAAATTCGTTTCTTAAATACCTAAAAGCCTGTCCTTCTTTGTTCATACCTTTGACAAAACTTTTGATTAAACCCTACTTAATATGTAATGGTGGAAGAAGAACATCTTTTGGATCCACGAGTGGTTCAGCAATTACATTTTTTTCAACTGTGTTGAGATTTCTTGCAGGCCAGTCTTCTTTTGTGTAATATGTAATTCTGTCTCTATTGTCCCACATACACAAAAAGCAGCAGTATTTAGAGTACCCTAAGCTCATTTATAGATTATTCATAGACTCATCTAAGCTAAGCTTTCAAGCTTAGCTTAGATGAGTCTATAAATAATCTCCATTCACTTGGATCATAGTTCAATTTAAGACGATACATTAATCCAAAGACATCAATGCAAACAACAAAATTATTTTTCTTCTCAAAAAAAGAAAGCAGATTCTGCTGCCGCTTTCTGTAATGTGAAACCTTGACATCAAATTGGAGAAGATTCCACTGCTTTAGTCTTGACCCTAGAACTTTTGCCTTTTTCTGAGACAAATCTAGATTTTGATCAACATCACTTAATTCTGATTAACTCAATCTGTGTGGCACATCATCTGTTAAGACAAAATCATGATCATTTGATTTGGAAGGCTTGTTTTTTTCTTTTCTTTTATTTCTACTTCATTTCTGCCTTCATTTTCCGCTTCTAACTCACAACTTTGTAGTGGAGTAGGAACTGGTAAACAATCCGAATGTAGAATAGGTTGAATGGCAGATGGAAGATTCTGATAGTTAACTGTTCCAATTTTCTTCATCGACAAACCTGAGTGGGGTCAGGCAGAAATAGCAATCACCTGTAATGTTTTTAGGCTCCCTTTATACCATAGGAACAGTAAAAGCCAAATATTTGTTTTTATATTACAACAATTCTCGTAGTGTAACCGAACAGAAGCTACAGTATATATGCGGAACCCAAGACTTATTCTTGTCTCCTTTATACTTAACAAGCATTACTTTATATCCAATAATGCTCGTAAGCAGTCTTTACAAGAGGTGTCATCGTTCTTTTCAGTGAGGAAAATGTTATTTCACCACAAATGTAACAAAAATTGTCCACTAATTTACACACTTCCTTAGCATGTTGATTTGTCGAATTTTACACTAGTAAATGAAAAAACAAACACACATGACTAATATCACAAGTTTTAAACAGGAATAAAACATTATGAATAGTCAAAAACAAAATTTTTTTTTTTCAAAAACTTAAAATTGAGAGAAAATTTTTGCTTTAATTTCAATAACTTTTTAACTGATGACTTTAAATTCAATAACTCTTTATTTGTTTATTGCGAAAAGTATAACCCACAGCTTAACAAAAATATTTTTTTTTAGATTTTTATTTTTAGAGATAATTTGATTCAAAAATTGATAACCTAAATATTTTTTAATTAAGTGTTTTTATTGTTATTATTATTTTTAAAATTAAGTATTAAGTGTTTTTTTTGATTTAATAACAAAATCAATTATAGCATCCCAGCGGGCATTTGTTTTTAAAAGTTACGTTTTAAATTTTTTTAAATGTCTTTTAAACGTCTTCTAAACATTCTTACGTAAAGAATGCCTCCCATTAAAAAGTTAACTAATTTTTTTTT